ACTGCCTTCGGCTCAGGTCATGATCCTGGAGTCCCTGGATCGAGTCCCGCATCGGGCTCCCTGCTCGGCAGGGAGGCTGCTTCTCCCTCTGACCCTCCCCCCTCTCATGTGCTCTCTCTCATTCTCTCTCTCAAATAAATAAATAAAATCTTTAAAATTGTTCTGCTAATTTTAAACTCCTTAAAGATAGGAATTATATCTTTTAAGCCCAGTTCCAATGTTTAATGGTTGTGTGGCAAAGAGATCTGTTGTTGGCTAGTGCCTTGTCTTGTAAATTGGTGTTTCTGTGATGAATGTGGTAAATATTAGTGGCCACAGTTGTAATCATGAATGGTTGTTTTTTAAAATCAAGTTAATTAGTGTGGCATATTTCTACTCTACATTAAATTTGTATTCTACAAATCCCTTACATCTTAGAACTAAGTAGTAGGTGGCTGGTCCTTCAAGAATTTTGAAATAAAGTCTTCAGTAAAATTGGAAACCTTGCATTTGCAAATAAGTTATCACCATAGCTCGAAGTTCAGTTTGGCATTTCTAAGCTTTCTTTCCTTTTTATCCATTCAGTCATCCATCCATCTTCCCAGTTATCTGCCCATCTCTCCATCCACCCCATGCACCTGCTGTCCACCCCTCAGCCCTCCCATCTGCTTTCCAGTCTCCCTTCCACCTCCCCAGTCTTTCATTTCTCATTGTCTATTTTAAGGGCCCTTAAAGGAAATGAGAAAGAAAAACAGTTATTATTAAACTTAATACTGACCCTTTGGTTTTCATTAAAATGACCACATTATATTTATTGTCCAAAATGTGGCACTTCTAAGAGTAAATAGAGTGCTACTGGTAATCATGCTGGGACAACCAGCATAAACCAGGACTGTTCTGGGCAAATCAGAACATAAGGTCACTCGTACATAATATGTTCTCCTAAAAATCTAAAGTGGGATTCCATTATAGTATTATTATATTTTTTTAGTTCTAGATTATATGATATGTGAATTGTTTATATTAACAAAATAGAGTGAGGCAGATTTTTAAAGATTTTTTATGTGTATTGGTGTAACTTAAACCTGATTTTTTTGTAGCATTAATTCCTGTACGTGTAGTAGTTAGCTCTCTAATTTGAAATCATCTAGATATTTAATTTATTCCCTTTTGTTGCCTTGCTTTGGGGTTGATTGCTCTCCCATTAATTCAGTGGACATCTACAAATCACTGTCTCCAGATATAGCATGTACCAAGGTGCCAGAGGGGCTGTAAACAAGGAGGGACACCCAATCTTTGTGTTTCGGCGGTTCACAGTATAGCTAAGGGCTAGCAGCATTTACACCAAATAACTGTGCATAAGCCAGCAATGGACCAGCACATGGACCAGAACAGGAAGAGTAAGTGGTAGAGAAGCACCAAGAAGAACTAGTAAAGGGGCCAGGGAGAGCTAATTCGAGGAAGCAGAGACAGCACTAGAATAATAAGACCCATTCTGGCACTTGTTGGCGACTTGTTGGTGGATAATACCAGGAATTACTGGCTTCTGTAAGATTTAACTGAGGCATATGTAACTTATTAGCATACGAAGTAATTTTTCCTTCCTCTGAACTCCCATCTCTCTCATGTGTTAGCTGTGTGATCGTAGACAGATTTCTTAACCCTCTGGTCTGTTTCCTCATTATAAAATAAGAATCTTAATAGTACCTACTCATAAAATCGTTAAATTGGTTAATTGATATGAAACAGGACTGTGCCTGGTATTAGAAAAATACTGAAAAGGGACTGTTTCTGTTAGTATAGCAAGACATCTTTCAAAGAAAAGTAATCCGTTTCAGTCAGTGTTTAATTGTAACTTACCTCATGTAATGTATCCCAAACATAATCTAAATTTACCCTTATTGTTTATAATGTTTTACAGCTCGAAAGTCAAAGAAGTTGGGCAAGTTAAAAGGTATTCACGAGGAACAGTCACAGCAGCAGCAACCCCCGCCCCCACCCCCGCCCCCCCAGAGCCCCGAGGAAGGGACGACGTACATCGCTCCCGCCAAAGAGCCCTCAGTCAACACAGCGCTGGTTCCTCAGCTCTCCACAATCTCACGAGCACTCACACCTTCCCCTGTTATGATCCTTGAAAACATCGAGCCTGAGATTGTGTATGCAGGCTACGACAACTCAAAACCAGACACAGCCGAAAACCTACTCTCGACTCTAAACCGCTTAGCAGGCAAACAGATGATCCAAGTCGTGAAGTGGGCAAAGGTACTTCCAGGTAGGACCGCCTCTCCTGTCACGGTCTGCATCCTGAACTAGAGAGGTCAGGGCAGCAGATTTCACCATCTCCAGCAGTGCAGTTGGAGTTAGCTTCCCGTTAAATCCTCATACCAGATTTGTTTCAACAATATCAAATTAATCGAGTGTGTAAGGAAACTCTGTTCATGTGCTCATTTCTCCTGAGATGTTCGGGCTGCGGGTTCTATTATTAATATACATTTCTTGTGTTGATGATTGAAAGGGGACATTTCAGACCCAAAATATTTATAAGGTAAAATACATTCTGTTATGAGAGCACAAGGTGAGCCCTTTATCAGCAGCTTGTAACCAGGGCCAATCTAAGCACAGACAAGAAAACTAAGACCTGTCAAGTAAGTTGTATGAGACCCTGAAAGACTATTCTTTCTGAAAATATCATCTTACCTCCAGCACCCTTTAAATTGTCCTTGACATTCCTACTCTAGTCATTTTTTGTGCTCTAGAATTTTATTAATAAGGCCCCTATTAATCTACAGAAAAATCACTTAGACTGGCTATCCCATTGTCCCAGTTCATTAATCAAAGCAGTTTCTTGGATTATCTGTGGTCAGCCAGGGCCCTAAGAGAAAAGATTGGGGAAAGCTCCGATAGTTGTTTCTTTGAAGAGGAGCTTGCCCAGGTGAAACTCTACAAATGGAAGAATACCATGATGCCCCTGGGAATACAGGGGATGAGAAAAGGAATAAAAGAAGGGCTAACTTAGGCCCAGATGGGAAGACTGTGGGAGAGGGCAGGACAGGTACCAAGGATCCTCATTCTACTTCACAACTTTGTTGGAGTCCAGTATTACCCCCGGATGAAAGGAAACAAGGAATGATATTTTTTCAACCACCCCAAATTCACAAAAATTAAAATCTTCCACCATGATAGCAGAAATGCAGGAGTTGACAGTTAATTACTAAAATATTCCTTATTTTAATGTTACTGTGAGTAGAATGAAGCAAGTTTTACAGGTTAATATAAATTCTTTCAGTCTAACCAATGGTTTTAGACCGTTATCCACAATGAAACTGCCTGAACTCCCTGGTTTTATTTGTCCTGGCAGTTCACCCTCATTGAAAATTTGGGGTGAATTTAGAATGAAACGTTGAACAGGGCCATGCCCACGGTAGGTGCTCCTTAAATGACTGTTGAACTAATTTGAGTCTGTTAGAGACAGGTGACTGTTTGGGGTTGCCTTAAGAAGCTTCTTCCTGGAATGTACTTAAATGCTAAGTGTATTTCTGTGATTAATTGTTCTGTTCTTCAGGATTTAGAAACTTGCCTCTTGAGGACCAAATTACCCTAATCCAGTATTCTTGGATGTGTCTATCATCATTTGCCTTGAGCTGGAGATCGTACAAACATACAAACAGCCAATTTCTCTATTTTGCGCCAGACCTAGTCTTTAATGAGTAAGTACCTATTAATTAGCCTTCATAAAATAAACTGCAGAGTTATTTGTTATGCTTTTTTTTTATGATTTCTAAACATAAATCATATGTATATTTGTGAAAGAATCCACTGACACTAGCTAGCATTTTTAAAAGGAAAAAATCCTATCATTTAAGAATTTAAAAATTACTTTTTGCAGAATTACCATGCACATGTCTGAGTATATATAAATCAGTATATATAGTTCTCATATAATAGTATGTGGGAATTGTCCCAAAAGAAAGATGATCCAGTTGGCTCTAGAAACTTGACTGGTACAAAGCCACCATTAATAGAAAACAGTCTCTTTTGGTATCTCCTCCAGTTGAGAAGACTATCTAATTTCTAGGAAATGTGAATGTATGAAGTGCCAGTTTTTGCACGCATTCATATAGTGGTTCTATGGTTAACAGTATACAGCTGCTCAGTGTGTTTTCATGACACTCAAAATTACCCTTCTTTGCAATCATAAAAAAAGCCAAATGTGGTAGTGAAACATCTTTAGTTTTATGATGCATTTTAAAAGATCAAAAGAATTGTAAGATTTCTTTGGCCATGAATTCCTTCCTACGTTAAGTTTACACTTTTTGCATTCTACATTAGCACATTTTGTGTATATTTCCGGCAGTGCTTCTTTGTCATTGTTGGGTCAAGAAACACCTAATATAAAAAAGGAACTTTTGAATTATGACAGTAGCCACAGCCATATTCTAACAGATGGCTCTCTCTAGATATGAAAATAGGGGTTTTCAGTAAGGAAGGAAGCAGATAAGAAATAGATCGGTGATAAAGAAAAGCAATGCAAAAGATGAGAAGTGGACACATAGTGCCAAGATACCTAAATGGTACCATAGCAATTTCCCTACGAAGTCCAGTCACCCCAATATGGTAGGTCACAAAGACCATTTTATTCCAGTGTAAATTAGGAACATCAGCTGTTGGTTCTCAGGGTGACCCTTCTTTTGGCGATTAGTCAGAAAGAATAATTCTACTGCATAATTTTTCACCAAAAGCATGAAGTGAGGCCAAACAACTGACATGCGCATTTTCATTTACTTGTTTTCCTCATTAGTCAGCTGATATTATTAAATAGTAAGCCTGTTTTCAAATATGGTCTATAAACCAAAAGGAAAACATGTTCCTTGTTTTAAAAGTGTGGGTAAACAAGAATCTCTACTCCATGCCATCCAGCATGTTTCCATTTGATTTTAACAGGAGATTTAAATGATCCATTCAGTCTTCTTGAGTACATCTATTAATTTTTTCCCATAAAATACATATAAAAATTTTCCATTTGAGCCATTTGTAAGTGTATAGTTCAGTGGCATTAATTACATTCACATTGCTGTACAACCATCCCCACCCTCCGTCTCCAGGACTTCATTGTCCAGACAAAAACTTTGAAGCCCTTAAACAAGAACTCCACAGTCTCCCCTCCCCCAAACACCTGATAACTCTAGTCCATTTTGCCTATTCTAGGTAATTCATACAAGCAGAGTCATACGATATGTATCCTTCCGTGTCTGGCTTATTTCACTGAAGCATAAGGTTTTCAAGGCTCATCCTTATTGTACCATGTATCAGAATTTCATATTATGGCTGAATGATATTCCAATGTATGTACATAGGATTGATCCTCATTGTTTGCAGATTCTGTGTTTGTGAATTGACTTCTGGCTACATTTATTTGTAACCTCAGAGTCAAGACTCACAACACTTCCACAGTCTTTCGCAGATACGCCCAGAGCAGCAATAAATTTGCATCGCCCAATGTGTACATTTCAGCTGAGACTCTCTGCCTTTTTGTTTCGGCTCTCATAGTGTGAACAAGTGGCCTTTTCATGGTCTATTTCGTACCACGTTTTTTGCATTTTTGTGCTTTTTTTGGTGATTTCACCGTTTAAAATGACCTCTAAGCAGAGTGCTGAAGTGCTATGTAGTGTTCCTAAAGCAAGAAGTCTGATGTGCCTTAGGGAGAAAGACATAGGTCTTAGATGAGCTTCTTTCAGGCATGAGTTATAGTGCTGTTGGCTGTAAGTTCAATGCTAATGTATCAGCTATATATTTATTAATAAGGTGCCCTTAAACAGAAATACACGTAAAACAGGATTATGTATAGATCAGTTGATGAAAGTGACCAGTGGATCTTAAGAACCTCACCCTGTATTTCCCTTAGGAGGAACAGTTCATTATTCACTGATTCAGTGTTTGCTACAACTTTATAAAATATAACTACCTTATTTATTTTTACCAGTAAAGAGCATTGACCATATTTTGTTTATTCATTCATCTGTCAATAGACACTTGGGTTGTTTACACCTCTGGCTATTGTAAATAACGTTGCTGTAAACATTTGTATGTTAGTACCTGTTTGAGTCCCTGCTTTCATTTCTTTTTTGGTATATATCTAGGAGCATATTATAATTCTACATTAAACTTTTGAGGAACCACCACACTGTTTTCCACAGCAGTTGTACTATTTTATGTATTCCCACCAGCAATGTGACAATAGTTACAAGAGTTCCAATTTCACCACATCCTTGCTAATACTTATTTTCTGTTTTGGGCTTTTTTTTTTTTAGATTTATTTATTTATTTGAGAGAGAGGGAGGGAGAGAGATGGGGGAGGGGCAGAGGGAGAGGAAGAGGGAGAATCTCAAGCGGACTCCCCGCTGAGCACAGAGCCAGACACTGGGCTCCAGCCCAGCACCCTGAGATCTTGACCTGAGCCAAAATCAAGAGTTGGATGTTTAACCAACTGAGCCACCCATGCGCCCCCTAGGGTTTTTTTTTTTAATAGCTTTCCTAGTAGGTATAAAATGTTTGGGGATGGGATTTTTTTGTTTTGTTTTGAAATATATTTGATATATAATATCGTGTAAATTTAAGGTATACATGTTGATTTGAGACATTTATATATTGTAATATGATTGCCATTTTAGCAGATGCTTAGCACTTCTGTCAAGTCCCATAATTGTCATTCCTTTCTTTTGGTAAGAGTAATAATTAAGATCTAGTCCATTAGCAAGGTTGATGATTATAATAGTTTATACATTCACTATACTGTACATTAAGTCTGCACAACTTGTCTACTAGTTGCTAGTTTGTACCCTTAAAACAACATCTCTCCTTCCCCCCTCCTTTCACCTCTCAGTAATCACTATTATACTCTGTTTTTGCAAGTTAGCCTTCTTTAGATTCCACATATGAGTGATATCATACAGCATTTGTCTTTCTCTGACTTATCTCTTAGGAGTTGTGAAGTCCTTTCTCATTGTGGTTTTGATTTGCATTTCCCTAATGACTAATGATTTGGGGCCTCTGTTCGTGAGCTTATTGGCCATTTGTAGATCTTCTTTGGAGAAATGTCTGTTCAAGTTCTTTGATCATTTTTAATTGGATTGTTTGTCTTTTTGTTCTTGAGTTGTAGGAGTTCTTTATATACTCTGGATATTAAACCCTTATCAGAGATGTGATTTGTATATTTTTCCCATTCTGTCGGTTGTCTTTTCACTCTTGATAGTATCCCTTGAGGCGTTTAAAATTACAGGTTTTAATTTTAATGAAGTGCAGGTTATTTTTTTCTTTTGTTGCCTAGGCTTTTGGTATACTCTTAGTTTTTAATTGTATGCACATATCCAAGTATATAGGTTCCGAAAAAGGTAAAAAATTGTAAGAATCCTTTTTAACAAACGAGATTTAGGGGAAAGCAACTTATATTTGAAGTCTAAATTAATGTAATTGAAAGGTTTGGGAAATAAATAAGAAACCAAAAATAAAAAAGGCCATATACACTTTGTGTACAACATTTGCCTGTTGTAAAAAATACTAATAGAGATGAAATGGAAACACAAAAATGGCTTTCTAATGTTTTAAATAGTTAAATGTTATGATATTATATAATTATTAGAATGAAAATTTTATCTCTCTTCTTAAAACTTTGACCTTAACCCCACCCTAGAGTTCTGTAGGTTTCTCTCAACTAGAAACTAGAATAGTGCAGGGCTGTGTTTTTCAGAATTGAAAAAGGGGGGAACCTACTTCCAGAAAACATTTAGAAATGACATAAAGCCTTTTGATCAAATCACACCAACAAAAAGAGCTTGATCAGTAGCTCTATCACAGGGTGCTATCATAAACCCTCTATTTTTTTTAGAGAAACTATTAAGTTAGGATGGCCTGCAACTAGAGTCTGAATGCATATGCATGCTTCATCCTGCATTTATTGAAGGAATATTTGCTAACTGTTGTCAATGTTCTGAACAGTGCCCAGCGGCAGGAAGGAACTCCGTGCAGAGTTATGTAGTGATGGGACACGGAGAGAAATGCAAAGATGTTGAAAGGCAAAATGGACAGGAATTGCTGGTGGTCAGATTCAGGTAGAGAATGGAGGGGAAGAAGAAATGGGTGTCTAGGATGACTTCCAGGCCTCTGCCTTAAGTGCCAGGTCAGATTTGGTGTCACTGCCCAGGAAAAGGGAGCAAGGGTAAAGGACCAGAGTTTGGAAGGGAAGAAGGAGAGTGTGAAGCCAGTTTTAAACCTAAGATTGAATTGCCTTTCAAATATTATTCAAGGAAAGATATTAAATAAGCAGTTTTTATACACACCCGAAGCTTAGAGAGAGGTTCCAGCTGAAGATACCAATGTTGAACTCATTTTAGAGGTGGTAGTTAAAGGACCCAAGACACGGGGCGCCTGGGTGGCTCAGTTGGTAAAGCGACTGCCTTCGGCTCAGGTCATGATCCTAGAGTCCCTGGATCGAGTCCCGCATCGGGCTCCCTGCTCAGCGGGGAGTCTACTTCTCCCTCTGACCCTCCCCCCTCTCATGTACTCTCTCTCTCTCTCTCTCTCTCTCTCTCGTTCTCTCTGTCTCAAATAAAAAAAAAAAAAAAAAAAGAAGGACACAAGACAGGGGAGTGCAGGTCACAGATCCTAAGGAAAGAGAGTGCTTCCAGAAAGAAAGTGTGGCTACCAGCATTAAACGC